CGTTCGCGAGTACATGTGCAAGCCAAAATACAAGAAAATCTTACAACAATACAATAAATCAGAGCGAAAATGAGTTACAAATACCTTTGTCCAGCGACGAAGGGCAATGAACTGGTCTTAAATCTTAAAGGATCCAAGAAAAAAATTATCTATTTTGTCACAAACGAGCAAGATAACTTCGATTGCCTTACATCTGGCGTTAGCAAGCACACGTGTTTTTGTCGAGCGCGCGCTAAGAACCTTGGGAATTTACCCAAGCGTCTTCTCGGCTTAACGTTAGTTACAACGAGACAAATGAGAAAAATAAATGCGACTTCTTTACAATTTAAAACAGTGGAAAGAAGTACAATTTATTTGCTTCCATGTTTCTTTGGACTATAATTAGTTATTGTTCTGTCTTTATATAGATGCATGAGCAACAAGACCGATCTTGCGAGAGTTTTACGACGTAAAATTTCAATTAGTACAAATAAAATAGGCGTTCTGATATTGTTTAAAAGAAATTTTAGTTCGATCTTTGTTCGCGTTAGGAACTATAGTTTACCCAGTTTAGTTTAGCGCTCGTGAAAACAGAGCTATATCTCTTCCAGTAGACCAGATGTTTAAACTCTTCTAAAGCGCTTAAACATAAGTTTTCCATTCACCGTGTGCTGCCTCTTCATGGGACGAATGCATGTCAACCTGCAACGTTTCGTAACGTGAGGCTACGGCTGCATACGGAGGAGGTTGGTTATCTATTTCTCTAGAATCTGGAAGCAGGACTGTCAGAGGATGGTTGTCCTGTGCCCTTGGAGTGACAGTTTGGAGTGCATCGATGCTACCAACCGCTTGTATTGGAACGGCCACCGGAATACCAATGGACGCCTGTATCATGACGTAACCAACATTAGATAGTAATAAACATAGCTATAAGAAAATTCTCGATTCCGATTGGTTCTCCGTACACCTTTTTACAGTCACGTATATAATTGGCGCACCACCACCTGTTCAGTCGCGAATTTTCGCGGTTAGATATCTGTAATGGAGCACGTCAATTTGCACATTAATTACGTACACTTCAGTTGATTTTTGCTCGCTTTTTGCTGCTTTTCGTAAAACCGATGTTTGCATTAGGACCATTGAACAGACACCCTAATTGCCCCTGGGTTCCCGAGGATGATCGGATGTTGTTTACTAAAAGGGGCAAGTCCTCTGGAAGGATGTGATCGGAGAAACAACCCACTGCAAGAGATACAGTAGTTAAATGGAGCAAAAGAAGTCGGTGAGCATAGCCATTTAAAACCGTTGACTCAGATTATGGATGAGGTAGGCGTACTGTGAGTCGGAGGGAGACTAAACAGAGCAGAACTTCCTTATGATGCCGTCCATTTAATGATTCTACCCAA